ATTGCGTCAAAAACTTCGTGTTGAAAAAAAGTGTTTGTAAACATTACATTAATTTCTGGACCGATGACCAGTCTAGCTATGAAAATACGGAGAGTCAAACAGAAAATAGTCCATAAAACATGTAAAAAATAATCTTGATGTTCTTATAAACCACCTTTGAAGGCTAAATTAGTACTCAGCTGTCTAAAAATTAATTTTATTACACAATAACTTTCATATTTGAAAAATCCACCGTGGCCAAAATGCGAAACCAAACTCCTAACTGTGTATTGCTACCTTAATAGTAAATATTTTTTTCAAATTCTCCCTTTTAACTAATTTTCTGTGTTCTGCTAGCTAAAACGAGTAAAATGGCCTTTTATTTTTGAAAATTGGTTGATTAATGAATATTTTATGAAGGTAAGCAGTTGACACTGAAACGCGACAAAAACTGATTTAAAGAAAGGTGCCAAGTCAAAGTGTAAAATCTTTTTTCTACCTCAATTTTTGGCAAAATCTTAAAAACTATACCTCTTTTGTCAGTTTTTTAATGTTGAAAATCTTTATAAGACCTCTGATGATGCAAAATTGTACAAAATTTAACAATTTCAAGCATGAAAATGTTAATCTTTATGTTTAATGTATACCAAATACTTGATTAAAAAACTTGGTAATGGGGAATCAATTTCTTACAGCTGAATCAACTATACATTTAATATTTGTCAAAATGTAACATGAAATCTTGATAAAAATAATAATTTGATATATTCGCAAGAAAAAATACAAAACATTCAATACTTAGGCTACTACATACTGCACAATCCTTCAGAAGCAAGGGTTAAGCAAATAGAGTACACTTATTAGCCTTGTGTCAAAATGTCTAATTTTGGTTGCTAAGGACTGTAAACAATAAAATTGACATGTATTGTCATTCTTAAACACTTAATCCCCTCAGAAGTTGATTTAGAATCTAAATGTCAATAGATTTTTGGTATGAAAAGTCTTAAATTATACAATTCTGAGCTTGGTAAGTATGCCATAAGGTAGCAATAAACAGTTAGGAAAAAATGTTAAAATTTTCCCTCATAAATTTTACCATCCCCTTTTCATTGCCTTCTTGCAATATTAAGCTTACTGTTTGTGTCATATATGTGCATATGTATGTAATCAGAATCTTCCATAGATTTCATATCCAGTATATAAAATGGTAAAATATAATTTCTTTTTTGTGTATCCATGGCAACAATCTGCATTTTTTTGTTATAAAATATAGCAAAAAGGGGGGGAAAGATGTCACATATTTTCCCAAAATTTGACCAAAAGTAGAATTTCAATCACTTCAAGTAATACCTTTTCTGAAACTGTTTACATATATCTTTCAATATATCCAATGAAAATCATATGTCTTTCGTCTCATTTTTTTGTAAAATTGCGTCAAAAACTTCATGTTGAAAAAAAGTGTTTGTAAACATTACATTAATTTCTGGACCGATGACCAGTCTAGCTATGAAAATACGGAGAGTCAAACAGAAAATAGTCCATAAAACATGTAAAAAATAATCTTGATGTTCTTATAAACCACCTTTGAAGGCTAAATTAGTACTCAGCTGTCTAAAAATTAATTTTATTACACAATAACTTTCATATTTGAAAAATCCACCGTGGCCAAAATGCGAAACCAAACTCCTAACTGTGTATTGCTACCTAAGGGCCAAAAATAAGCATTTTTGTAACTTCCAGACATAACTTGTGTGTTAGTGTATGGATCTCTCTGACATTGTACCACAAGGTTCCATATCACAAAGGGAATGCTGGGATTGATTTTGGGGGTAATTGCCTCAAAATTTTTGGAATTAGGGGCCAAAAAAGGGGCAAAAAACAAGCATTTTTATATGGACAAATACTTTAGTACAAAACATAATTTAAAGCAGTGTAAGGGAGATAAATCAAATACATCATTTGAATTACCTCCCTTACACTGCTTTTAGATTATGTATAAAGTAATGGTTAATGAACAATTAAGACAATTTAAAACAGTGTATGGGAGGTAATCCACATACAACGTTTTGATTACTTCCCTTACACTGCTTTTAAATTATGTTTAAAGAAATGCATATTTATAAAGGAAGACCAGTAAAAATGTCTGCAAATGTTGCATCTTTTTTTTTACAAAAAAACCCATATGAAAGATTTGACACCATACCCGGTATTTTAAATTCTATTATAAAATAGATTAAGTTAGCACTATGGTAAATTTAAATGGGTAATTATGGTTGCAAATTCCATTGGAAATTTAAATTGAGATTATGACCATATCTTGAGGGAAAGAATTTTTTGGGGGAAAAAGGGGGGGGGGGGGTAAAAAGAAATTGTGGGGGGTCAATTTTTTCTCATTTCAGATTTAGAAATTAAAAAGAATTATTCTTCAAATATTTTTTTTTTTTCAAATTTCAAATATTGAAAAATTTCTAGAAATAATCTTTAATTGCACAGTATGGCGCATTAGATTTTTAAAATCTTTGACCACATTTATTTATTTGTTATGCCAAATCTGACCGTGTATTTAGATTTTTAATTTTGGGTCCAGTTTTCAAATTGGACTACATTAAGGTCCAAAGGGTCCAAAATTAAACTTAGTTTGATTTTAACAAAAATTGAATATATGGGGTTCTTTGATATGCTGAATCTAAACGTGTATTTAGATTTTTGATTTCGGGCCCAGTTTTCAAGTTGGTCCAAATTGGGGTCCAAAATTAAACTTTGTTTGATTTCAACAAAAATTGAATATATGGGGTTGTTTGATATGCTGAATCTAGCCATGTATTTAGATTTTTTATTTTTGGGCCCCACTATCAAATTGGTTCATATTGAGGTCAAAAGGGTCCAAAATTAAACTTTGTTTGATTTCATCAAAAATTGAATTATTGGGGTTCTTTGATATGCCAAATCTCACCGTGCATTTAGATTTTTATTTTGGGTCCAGTTTTCAAATTGGTCTACATTAAGGTCCAAAGGGTCCAAAATTTAACTTTAGTTTGATTTTAACAAAAATTGAATATATGGGGTTCTTTGATATGCTGAATCTAAACATGTATTTAGATTTTTGATTTTGGGCCCAGTTTTCAAGTTGGTCCAAATTGGGGTCCAAAATTAAAATTTGTTTGATTTCAACAAAAATTAAATATATGGGGTTCTTTGATATGCTGAATCTAACCATGTATTTAGATTTTTTTTATTTTTGGGCCCAAATATCAAATTGGTTCAAATTGAGGTCAAAAGGGTCCAAAATTAAACTTTGTTATATTTCATCAAAAATTGAATTATTGGGGTTCTTTGATATGCCAAATCTAACTGTGTATTTAGATTTTTAATTTTGGGTCCCGTTTTTTTTTAAATTGGTCTACATTAAGGTCCAAAGGGTCCAGTTAAAATAGATTAAGTTAAACTTAGTTTGATTTTAACAAAAATTGAATTCTTGGGATTCTTTGATATGCTGAATCTAAACATGTGTTTAGATTTTTGATTATGGGCCCAGTTATCAAGTTGGTCCAAGTTGGGGTCCAAAATTAAACTTTGTTTGATTTCAACAAAAATTGAATATATGGGGTTCTTTGATATGCTGAATCTAACCATGTATTTAGATTTTTGGGCCCCATTATCAAATTGGTCTACATTGAGGTCAAAAGGGTCCAAAATTAAACTTTGTTTGATTTCATCAAAAATTGAATTCTTTGGATTCTTTGATATGCTGAATCTAACCATGTATTTAGATTTAGGATATTGGACCATAATAGGTAAATTAAAAAAATTTAAGTTCTTAGACCACATTCATTCTGTGTCAGAAACCTATGCTGTGTCAAATATTTAATCACAATCCAAATTCAGAGCTGTATCAAACTTGAATGTTGTGTCCATACTTGCCCCAACTGTTCAGGGTTCCACCTCTGCCGTCGTATCAAGCTGCGCCAGGGAGCATTTTATTGTACAGTAAACTCAAATATGCTTTCAGCAGTTCTGATGAAACTTTGATGAATTGTTTATATCTATTGACATGAGCTCTCTTTTGATTTTTATAAATTTTTGATTTTACGTTTCAGAGTTATGGGGTTTTATTCATTAAAAAAAAGGGGGATTTTCGGACAAGAATTCAAAAATGCTTTTAGCAGTTCCCATGAAACTTTGGTGAATTGTTTATATTTATTGATGTGAGCTCCCTTTATATTTTTAGAAACTTTAGATTTAACATTTCCGAGTTATGGGGTTTTATTCATTAAAAAAGGGGGGTTTTCCAGTTTTCGGACAATAACTCAAAAATGCTTTCAGCATTTCTCATCATGAAATTTTAGTGAATTGCTTATATCTATTGATGTGAGCTCCCTTTCTGTTTTTTAGAAATTTTAGATTTTATGTTTCCGAGTGATGGGGTTTTATTTATTAAAAAAAGGGGGATTTTCCAGTTTTCGGACAAGAACTCAAAAATGCTTTCAGCAGTTCTCATGAAACTTTGGTGAATTGTTTATATCTATTACTGTGAGCTCCCTTTTGATTTTTTCGAAATTTTAGATTTTACATTATCGAGTTATGGGGTTTTATTCATTAAAAAAAAGGGGGATTTTCCAGTTTTCTGACAATACCTTTAAAGTGCTTTGAGCAGTTTTCTTTAAACTTTGGTGCCTGGTTTACATCTATTAATTGTTTATAGTCTGACAACAGATTTAATAAGTATTGGGCAACAGCACAGTGTAGTGCACAACAGCAAGAAATTTATATAAATTCAATGCATATAACCAATTTCAAGTTCTTTGACTACCGGTACATTTATTTAGAAACCTATATGTCAAATAATAAATTACAATCCAGATTCAGACCTGTATCAAGCTTGAATATTGTGTCCATTTTTGCCCCAACTGTTTAGGATTGAACCTCTGTGGGCGTATCCAGCTGCGCTGAGCAAAACAGATTATTTAAATCCACTTGAAAATATGACACACATTTGTGATAATTGGTATTGTATGTTTTAGATGACCCAACAAGAATCTACGAGGGTTTTACCAGTGGAGGTGGTATTCTGTGGTTCACAGACTTAACAGTTTTAGATCCACTCTTCATACTTCCTGTCATAATTGGCATTAGTAATCTGTTACTAACTGAGGTTCACAGACTTAACAGTTCCAGATCCACTCTTCATACTTCCTGTCATAATTGGCATTAGTAATCTTTTACTAACTGAGGTTCACAGACTGAACAGTTCCAGATCAACTCTTTATACTTCCTGTCATAATTGGCGTACTTAAGTGCTAACTGAGGTAAACTTTAATTTATAATTAGAACACACATGAAAAATTGGGAACTTTTTGAATGTTATTTTGTTACCAAGACACAATACAGTCCAACAGTTATGATTTTAGATAAAATATAAAGTATAATGATCTTTTACAGTGTAATATTTTAGCTGATAATGCAATAGCTTGTTTTTTACCTGCATTCCCAAAGGCAGAAGCACTTCAAGTACCTGCTCAACTCCCTCTGCATGTCCATCTATTCCAAAGAAAATTTTCACTGAAGTTTTCTTATTTTCTATGAAATGGAATGATTAAATATTTAGGCGGCAGCTTGATAATTTTGAGTTGTAGTGAGTAATTATTTTTTTGCATCTGCTTTTTAGCCACCTCCTGTTTACAGATAGTTTGAAATTTTACAGCTGAGAATTTTCATTAAACATGTAAAATTGAGAAAACTATAAATTATCTGAAACTGCTTAATCAATTCTAACCAAACTTTAGCTGAATGATCATAAGGGTATCTACAATAAAGTTTGTGTTTTATTTTCAGTGTCATATGAAAACAGTTATTGTCCTTTAACTTTTAAGGACAATTTTACACAATTTGTTTATCATGTCTTCTAACTTTAAAAAATGTTCTCCTCTGAAACTACTGAACTAATTCTATCTTTAGCTGAATGATCATTAGTGTATCTAGAATAAAGTTTGTGTTCTATTTTCTGTTTCATATGAAAACATGACCCCATGGCTAAAAATAGAACATGGGGTAAATGTAGTTTTTATACGCTTGTTTTTTGCCCCTTTTTTTGGCCCCTAATTCCTAAAATTTTGAGGCAATTACCCCCAAAATCAATCCCAGCATTCCTTTCGTTTTTTTATAAATTTTAGATTTTAAGTTTTGTTTTGTTTTTAATTAAAAAAGGGGGATTGTCCAGTTTTTGGACAATAACTCAAAAACACTTTCACAAATTTGCAAGAAACTTTGGTAAATTGTTTATATCTATTGGCATTAGCTCTTTTTTGATTTTTATAAATTTTAGATCTTACGTTTCCCAGTTATGGGTTTTATTCATTTAAAAAAGGGGGGTCCCATTTTTTGGACAATAACTGAAAAATTCTTTTAGCATTTTGCTTGAAACTTTGTTGAATTGTTTATACTATTGACGTTAGCTCCCTTTCAATTTTAATAAATTTTAGATTTTTTGTTTCGGAATTATGTGATTTTATTCATAAAAATGGGGGGATTTTCCCTATTTCGGACAATGCTTTAAGCAGTTATCATGAAACTTTGGTGACTGGTTTATACCTATTAAGAAAAACTCCCTTTAGTTTTTCATGAATTTTTGATTTGACATTGAGCAGTTATTGAACTTTATTCTTTGATAAAGTGATGGGCATATCATGGGCTAATGGTGCAGCTGTTTATTGACTTATATATCTCAAAAATTAAAGAATTTAGAGCAAATCAGACGAAGTAAAAGAATTCATTAGGTCAAGGTCTACATGCCCTGAAATTATCACCAATTCGGGTATCTGATTTTAAGGTTATTGCCCCTGAATTGATGATTTAAAGGAAATTTTGCAGGTTTTGGTCATTATCTTTAATACTATTATAGATAAAGATAAACTGTAAACTGTAAAACTGTAAAAATGTTCAGCTAAATAAGATCTACAGATATGTTTATTTGACCAAAATTGTCAATTGACCCCATAAGGAGTTAGTGCCCTGAGGGTGTTAAAGACCAAACAGCCTATTGTTTATGCGCATCAACTAACGCAACTTGGTAGTGACATAAAAGCTCTATGATGTTTCTAGCCATGAAAAAAACGTCCTATTTCGCGTATTTCACAGATTCCAACATGGTGTACGCTTTAAAAAAAATACGTCTTTCAAGAAAAGTGGAATTGAGTGACTTAAGTCCATACTTGCCCCAACTGTTCAGGATTCAACCTCTGTGGTCTTATCAAGCTGTATTTTATTTTATTGAGTTTCTTAAATTAAAGGGGAAATGGCTAAAAAATTAAACTATATATTAAAACATATTTTTTTTATCTTCAAATATTGTAAATGTGAAATATAGAAATTTTGAAATGATGTTTTAGTGATAAGCATTTGGTTTTGTTCATTTCATCAAAATAAGCTTGAAACAAATTGCCGATGTATCATTGGCTTGCAAGGTAATAATTCAACTCATTTGAATCCATATTCATGCAACCTTCGTTTGACCTTTAGGCAGTTGCTCATCTGTTATAACAGCATGTGGTCAGCATTTTCATTCATAAGAATTGAAAAGCAAAGTAGATTAATATGTACTAGATTATGAGATACAATGTATATAAAAAAAACTAAGCACCAAAATTATATAAATTTCTGATTCCTCACTAATGCTTAAAATTCTTTTCATAATTTTTTTTTTAAATGAAAGATAATATTGTTCACTAGTAAAAAATTCAAAATTCATAGAAAAAGAAAAAAAAAAAAGCTTGCTTGGTACCCTCTTTGAAAGGAAAGAGTTGTAAGAACAATCCATTAATTTAGTGTGGCCTAATGCACCTTGATGTAAATATCTCTTGCATTGACTTGGTTTAGTATATTTGTCCAACAGAATTGCTATATTAATTTGTCCTTTGTTTGTGATAATATATTTTGTCCTATTGATTGTCTGACATATAACTAAATTTTAATTTCCAATGCCTTTTTATACGACCGCAAAAAAATTTTTGTGGTCGTATATTGGTATGACGTTGGCGTCGTCGTCGTTGTCGTCGTCGTCCGAAGACACATTGGTTTTCGCACTCTAACTTTAGTTTAAGTGAATGGATCTTTATGAAATTTTACCACAAGGTTCAATACCACAAAAGGAAGGTTGGGATTGATTTTGGGAGTTATGGTACCAACAGTAAAGGAATTAGGGGCCAAAAGGGGCCAGAAATAAGCATTTTTATACGACCGCAAAAAAATTTTTGTGGTCGTATATTGGTATGACGTTGGCGTCGTCGTCGTCGTCCGAAGACACATTGGTTTTCGCACTCTAACTTTAGTTTAAGTGAATGGATCTTTATGAAATTTTACCACAAGGTTCAATACCACAAAAGGAAGGTTGGGATTGATTTTGGGGGTTATGGTAATAACAGTAAAGGAATTAGGGGCCAAAAAGGGGCCAAAAATAAGCATTTTTGTAACTTCCAGACATAACTTGTGTGTTAGTGTATGGATCTCTCTGACATTGTACCACAAGGTTCCATATCACTAAAGGAATGCTGGGATTGATTTTGGGGGTAATTGCCTCCAAATTTTAGGAATTAGGGGCCAAAAAAGGGGCAAAAAACAAGCATTTTTCTAGTTTCATGACAATAACTTGTGTGTAAGTGTATGGATCTTTCTGAAATTGTACTACAAGGTTCCATATCACAAAGGGAAAGCTGGGTTTGAGTTTGGGGGTAATTGCCCTAAACGTTTAGGAATTTGGGGCCAAAAAACACATTTTTTTCTAGTTTCCAGACAATAACTTGTGTTCAAGTGTATGGATCTCTCTGAAATTGTACTGCAAGGTACCATACCACAAAGGGAAGGCTGGGATTGAGTTTGGGGGTGATGAATCATAATGGGGGTTCAAAAAATTTTGGGGGGGGGATTTATTTTTTTTTCCTTTTTTTTCTTTTTTTCCTTTTTTGTTTCTTTTAAAATTTTCCATTTTAAGTTGGTTATTTCTGATTTATATTTAAAATCAAATAATAATGATATGGTAGGAGATACACACCAAACAGGATGTGTAAATTATTATATAATAAGTATTGTGCAATAGCAAGAAATTTTCAATTGCACAGTATTGCACAATAGCAAGAAATCTTCAATTGCACAGTATTGCGCAATAGCAAGAAATCTTCAATTGCACAGTATTGCGCAATAGCAAGAAATATCCAATAGCACAATATTGCGCAATAGCAAGAAATTGTCAATTGTACAGTATTGCGCAATAGCAAGAAATATTTAATAGCACAGGATTGTGCAAAAGAAGATACTTCCTATAAATTGCTTATTTCTTGACCAATTTCAATGGGGTTTTATTCTTGATTTCATGGGGTTCTTTAATATGCTGAATCTAACCGTGTATTTAGTTTTTGGATTTTGGGCCCCGTTTTTAAATTGGTCCACATTGAGGTCCAAAGGGTCCAAAATTAAACTTTGTTTGATTTCATCAAAAATTGAATTATTGGGGTTCTTTGATATGCCGAATCTAACTGTGTATTTAGATTCTTAAATTTTGGTTCCGTTTTCAAATTGGTCTACATTATGGTCCAAAGGGTCCAAAATTAAACTTAGTTTGATTTTAACAAAAATTGAATTCTTAGGGTTCTTTGATATGCTGAATCTAAACATGTATTTAGATTTTTAAGTCTCCTAAACGAAGTTTGGGAAGACTTATTGTTTTTGCTCAGTTCTTATTATTATTATTATTATTCTTCTTCTTCTTCTTCTTCTTCTTCTTCTTCTTCTTCTTCTTCTTCACCCGTTCTCCAAAACCGCTTGTCGGATTAACTTAGGGTTTCACAATATGTTAGACTAACATGTCTAGTGGTGCAATCAGGGTTTTTTTTTTGCAATGGGGTTTATAAAGGGGTACTTTGAGGGGCAAAAAGAAAAGAGGGTTTTACTATAGAACCCTATGGGATTTTATTTTTTAAAATTTTCAAATGATTATAAATTGAAAACCGTTCGTGATAGACACAAACTTTTTAATTGAAAATGTTCTAAATGATAAAGCCCATTAAATGAAATACAGGGTTAGTCCCCAGGGGTCACCCCCACCCCCTGCCATTTAAGAAAGTTCTAATATCTTGTAAATGGTCGAGATCCCCACCCCTAAACCATATATATTCTGGTTTGTCATGATAAAGCACATCAAATGTTATACAGGGTTAGTCCCCAGGGGTCACCCCCACCCCCTGCCAGTTAAGAAAGTTCTAATATCTTCTAAGTTGTCAAGATCCCCACCCCTAAACCATATATATTCTGGTTTGTC